ATCATGTCAATATGGACCAAAATCTCTGAGGAATGTTTCCAGTGCCTTGTTGAATCTATGACACCAAGAATTAAGGCAGTTCTGAAGGTAAATGGGGTCCAAGCTGCTTCTAGCAAGGTGTACCTAATAAAGTGGCTAATGAGTGTAAATCCATAATTATAATTATGCCAAGATACTTTTAAAGAATATCTGTTACTAATAATTCAGATGAACTCACACTCTAAGACCATCAACTACACATTACAGTATATACAATAAAGCAGCAACAGCAGATTCAGAGCAGGTGATGAAAGCCGTGCCCTGTGGTAAAATATGACGGATGGCTTGTTATTATACGGCGCACCCAACTGCTGCTCAACTCTTATTTCAGGAAAATGAGCAACGAGTGTGACTTTGAGTACACTGCGATACATTTTTTATAATCTGTTTTTACCTTCATGCATAAACTAGTCTCTTCAAAGTCAAGTGCTCTCCAGAGTATGATAGGGTAGCTCAATTCAAGCAATATCAGACCACAGGAAAAGCGCAAACAATACAGTGAAGAAGTAATTACAGCGATGGGGAGGGGCCACTCATGCTCGCTCCACAGGCTCCAGGCCCGTAGGACGCTGTTTCTCTGTGCAGTTATGTGGTTTAGGGGAGGGAGGATCTGCACTCATGTGTGCCTGTTAGGAAACCATATCAGGCTGAACAATGATGGCTTGTTCTCGTTGCTCTCTGGAAAGAGCGGGAAAGGCATTTTTTCATTCCTCTATATTTATATCAGCCAGGATAAATAGAGGTGAAATGTCTGGCGCCCGGCCAGCAGACAGGACGATGCCTCCTCCAGTCAATGACATCTCCAGTGTTTGTTACAATCAAGTCATTAAAATTTCATAACCTGAGTGCCTCTTTGTGTCATACAGAGAAACCTGCAAGCATACACACATCAGCGGAGAGACCGTTTTTCCTGCTGAACATGAGAGGAGTATTAAAAAGAAAAAAGAAAAAAGCGGAGCAGTTATTCCCGCTAACCCATCAGTGACAGCGAGAGATGAGGGATGATGGGAGGAATGTCTTTATTTCGTCTCTGGCAACCGCTGGTGATGGATTGTAACCAATTGTTCCATTTGGCAGCCAGTCAAGGGAGGTCGAAAAAACTGGCCTGGCCTCCCCTCGGTCGGCAGCGGGCTGAAATGGGAGAATTGATTGAGGGAGTAAAGAAATTCCTCAGCACATGGTTTTAAATAATCTCCAGTGAGAGAGTGATGGCTGTAGGGCAGAGGAGGTAGAGCTCCTCTTGGCACTGTCAAACACAGAAGGGCATCACCGCCCTCCAGGTCCCACCACCATTTCTCATCGGGGGGGGGAGGGAGGGGGGCAGCAATCCTAATTCAGGGCAGGAAGATCCTCCACTCTGTGTTTCCCAGTCAAACATTCAGCTACTGAAGTTTAGACATCTGTTTATAAAGGAACAATTACACATCTGGGAAAATATGGTTATTATCTCTTGCCAAGAGTTAGATGTGAAGACTGATACCACTCATCTGTGTGCGATATTACACAGTGTACAGTAGAGGTATTCACAGGTCTACCTGGACCCTAAGACCCAAGACCTATACAGGTTCGGGTCCATGTCTCAATGTGGTCAATATCTGAACATATCAATGAGTCCAGGTCAGGTTGGGTTTCAATTACAGTTAGGGTAAGGCTACAGTCGGTTGCTGGTGCACACTACAGCAACAAAAACAACAACAAAATAAGTGACAATAGAATAACATAAAATAAAATGGAGACATCTGAAACATTAATTAACATTAAATACAGTACTATGGGTAAGAGCAGTATATTGTATCTAACACGAAAAATGTTTTTGGCAGTGAGATGGTATTTTTAGTAGTAATTTTAATAACTGGGTTTGACAGGTCCATAAAATAGACCCGAGACCGAGCCAGGTTTGTAACACCTTGGGCAAAATATATTCAAAAAAATTATTGGGTTCCTTTTAGTTCAGGACCGTCATTTTGGACCTATAAAGACCTCTAGCGTACAGCCAGAAGATGGTTAGTTCAGCAGAGCTAAAGATTGAAAACAGGTGAAAACAGTTTGTATGACTGTCAAAAGGTAACAAAATCCTACTACTCTAAAGCTTGCTGAAAAAAAACAATCAACAATCTGTAGTTTTACACGGGCACCTGACCAAGAACTGCATCGGCACATAACTGCGAGTAGAAACAGTCAAATCACAGATTATACAGAAGAGACATCACGAGGTAATTAGGGCCCAGGCACACAAAATCGACATTAAAGAGCTAGTCCAACGAAGGCCGACTTTTGTGTCGCCACATCCTGACTGTGTCTCAGCCAAAAGATGCACTTGAACACAACCCAAGGACTAATGCCAACGACAAACTGCCTCGTATGTTCTGCGCTTGCGTGAGAGGAAATAACTCTCCACACCAGCAGGCGGCGGTATTTTGTGTTCGTCATTAAAAAGGGAAACTGGAAACCGACAGGACGGATTCAAGATGCTAGTTAGCCCGTTAGCACATTAACAACACAAGCTGATGCTGACAGAAGAAAGGACATATACTGTGTGCTAGCTAGTTTCTGAGCTCAGTGGCTTCAAAGATAAATAAAAAATAATTAATCTCACAGCCTCTGGATTTTAGTTGTTTGTTTGCTTTCTTTACTCAGTTTCTCTTCTTCTGCAGTGAGCCGGACTGCCAATCAGAGTGATTCCATTCACCAATTCACCGAAAGACACTGCCGCCTCCCAATTCAACATGATGAATCAGCTGGAAAAACAGCCAACAAGTGCTGAAGTGCCAACGGTGCAGGACGCACCACAAAAACTAGTGCGACAGATGTTCCCTGACAGCCGACTGTCGGTGTGTCAGGGTCCTTAGGTGTGCATATAGATTTTGTTACCTCTAAGGCCAGCTGTTTGCCCTGTTTCCAGTCTCTATGCTAAGCTAAGCAAAACTGCTGCTGGCTATAGCTCTGTATTTAACTCACGGACATGAGAGGTATTGATGTTCTCATTTGTTGAACCATTCCTTTATAGCAAGTCCAGTGCTCTACACTAAATGACAGACTGTATACATACTAACTAGCATGTTTGCGTTCCACACATCTCATGTTCTTGTCATGCTTACATACCTGGTGAGACATCCTGGAAGAGCGACTTCCATATTGTGTACTGTAAGGGCCCCATGTACTTGGATGTCGGGAAGTCTTCATATGTCAGATTGGTCTCATGTATCTTCCCTTTAATCCTGAGACAGAAAAAAAAACAGATCAATAAGAGTCTAAATCCAATTTGCTGCCTTTTTCTCCCGAATAATACCGCCTCTTGTTCAGCCCACTATGTCGATGCTTCACATCATCATTCTGATTTGTGTCTTTGAAATGTGCCATTATTGAAATTAAACAGCTGACAAACTGCTTCATGAATCTGCAGCTACAGAGATGAATGCGTCAGTGAGAGGAGGGTTCAGCTCTAACACCATTACAATATGATTCAATATGAACCTCCACATGAATCACTCAGCACACTCCTACATGTAGTCCAGAGTTCAGGCGAGATATTGAGTGGGTTGCTCACCACATTGAAATCCTGAAAATAACTGCAGTGTGTTGAAAAAGGAACATTAGAGCGTATTTGTGCAGAAGCATATGGTTATTTGTGGTGTACTGTCTGAAAATAAGGAATGAAAATAAATTAGTATTACAGTGTTTCCGCATGTACCTTTCTTGGGGTGTTTAACAGAACAAATTTACAGTGATAAAGTTTTTCTGTACAAATTATTTGGGGGCTTTTTTTCCTCAAGGTGTGACTTGGAGGGTAAATTCAGTATGTTCCAACCTGAACACTATCTTCCCATGTTTTTGTGCCTAAGTGACTAATGGGAACAACAATTTTTAAAGCTGGTCCTGTATCAAACGAGAAGGCTGTAGCCGTCAGCTGCAAAACAGGCTGCAACGTAACCACGCTTTGTGTGCCGTCAATTTACATCCACTAAAATTGCTTGTTTTTTCCACTCAGATAATTTTTCTAAGTGTCTGATAATTTATGGAAAGGACCCTACAGAGATACACCTTTCTGTTAAAGAGTAAGATCCTTTTTGTTAAATCAGAAACGGCCTTGAAATCGTTACTGCCAAACTCACCAGACTCCATTCAAATAAAAAGTAATTTTACTGTGTATAGAGCCGGCACATTTCACATCTAACTGGGTGAATTAAGAGTTTATTTCAACCAAAACTGAGCTGGTGATTGTTGAAGCAGTGGAAAGATGAAAGAAGACGGCTTTCGTGAGTTTTAATTTTGTTTCTGTCTGAATGAAGTGGGTTTTGAGGGATAAAATTACTGTTTATTTAAATGGAGTCTGGTGGGATTGGTGATAGTAATTTCAGAGCTGTGGTGGCTAACAAAAAGAATCTTATTTTTAACAAAAGGGTCTATCTCTGTGGGGCTCCTTTCTGTAATATTGTCAGACACTTGGAATAACAATGTTAGCCTGTCAGTGGCAAAAACAAGCACTTTTGGTGAAGGTAAACTGATGGTGTGAATTGCCATAAGTGGTCACATTGCAGCCCGCTGTGCAGCTGCCGGCTACAGCCCTCTTGCTCAATATAGGACCGATTTCAAAAAGTGGTGTTCCCATGAGTCACTTTGGCTCAAAAACATGGGTAAAAAGGGGTCAAGGTTGAAAAATACTTCACTTACCATTTAAGGAAACAGTGAAAAAAAACTCCCACGTTTGTTTCCTTTCTGTCTGACATCAGTCATACCTGTTGTCCATGATATTAACAATCATTTACAATCTATTTTTAAACATGATATCATCCACTTCTTCACATACTTAAAAATGTTAATATTGTTACTTAATATTGTGGTGTTTTGTAAAAGATAACATATTCTGCTCTGTCACTCTTCGAAGCTCTATAGTCAACCTCATTAATCTGCTCTAAGATATTAAACTGTTCAATTAAACCGTCCTCAAGTACCTCTCCTAGATTAAACACTACAGCTGGTTCATTTCAGGCCTAATACACCATCTGTTCAGGGATTATCTGTCGCTGTTGCTCAAATCTGTACTTTCTCCAAAATTTAAGCAACCTTGCACTTCACACGAGCAGAACACACATTTGGCATGTTGTGAGGTGTTATCAGTAAAGCAAATAGCTGAAAATATTTTAGCTGGTGTTGATATGAGACTTTAAAGGATGGTTCGGATCCTCTGAAGTGGGGTTGTATGAGGTACTTAATTACAGTCAGTGTATTAGCAACAGTGGATGGTGGTCGGCACACCCCCAGTTTGGAGAAACAGAGAGACTTAAAAAAAGGCCCATCTAAAGACATAAAAGAACAATATCAGTTTTAGTGTATGTTGTATGGAGAATATTTTCACAGCTTTATCTTGGTGCAGACAGCGATTTCTGATGGGGTAAGGAAAGACGTTATTTCGCTCTCTTCAAAGCCAGACCCCATTGTGTAAAACAGTGATTCAACATCTCTGAACACACGAGCTGCAGGTCTACCGCTGCCTTGACTGTTATTTTCATTGTGTTATTGTGTGACTTTAGTGATTAAAAGGGTTAGTTTGGGTTCACCAAAGTCACACAAAAACTCAAACTAACTAACTGTTCAGGGAGCAGCTGACCAGGAGCTCCTGTGTTAAGTGAGCCAAATTTACTGTTTTTCTTAAATGGAGTCTGGTGGCTTTGACAAAAGCTTAGATGGGGAGCTGAAGCAGTTAAAGGCGGAAAGTTAAGCACTGAAAATATTCTCAATATAGCTTAGAGTTAAACTGTTACAGATTTTTTTGGTGGGATTTTTTTTAAGTGGCTAAAATACGTTTTGCTGCAGCAGTTCATTGCTCAGCTTTTGTGTTGGTACTCCTGTCTGCTTCTCCAAACTGGGGAATCAACATCTACTGTAGGTAATACACTGACTATGGATAAGTAACTCATGCAATCCCACTTCAAAAATCTGAGCTATCCTTTTAAGAGTTGATAAAAAAAAAAAAAAAAACTTTTTAAAAATAGGTTTACAACCACAGTTTGCTTTTTCTTATTGGACTGCAGTGATGGTACTGGGGCAGCTTTGCAAACAGGTGAAGCACCTCTCAGATGTGACGGCGACTCCCTCCAGGAAGTCGTGTCGTCCTGTCTCGTTGAGGCGCTCCTGCAGGATCTGGATGCCCTCCTTGACGTCGCGCAGCTGCTGGCTGTAGCGCTGGATCTTGTGCTCGATGTCGGCCAGCTTGCGGGCCGTGTCCATCTCCAGCTCTTCCAGCATGCTCTTTTGACGCTCGCGCAGGAAGCGGTGAAGACGCTCGAATGCATCACCAATGGTTGCACGCAGACTCTTGGCTGAGGACTGAGAAAAAAATCAAAAAGATTCAGTCAGGCTATTTATAGCTGTCATTACAGGACTGTGAAATAGACTTTGCACTGTAGTTAGCTGGGTTTGTTGAGTGTTTCAGTCACAATAGCTTGACTCTTAATTAGACAAGGGTCAGTAATATAGGGGCTTACAAAGTGCTCTAAATTGTGTTAATATTACATTAAAATTCATTCATTGATTCAGCTCGTACATGTATTGATTTTAAGTGGCTCTCTGAGGACAGCGTGTGCACAACCTTACACTCAGAAAATAAAGTAGCTTTTACACAGTTGCAGTAAGTAGAAACAAACAAGAGTGTACTGTAACAGAAATAACCCAAAAAAGACAACCAGGACGGAGTCACAAAGGACATCCTGTCTGTGAAGACGGCTAATTACAAGACCGAGGGACCTGAGAGAAGCCGGAGCTATTACAGACAGAGCCGAGCAGTTTGCAGGCGACAGCAGACTGGGAGCTGAAGAGTCGGAGAAACTGATTTGTTGCTGAAGAAGGAGAAATGAGAAGCTGGACATCAAAGAGAATGAATCATGTGAGTGTCAGAGAGACAGAACAAAAGGGGTGTGACATAAAAACCCTGTAAAAGTCGCACGGAGAGTTGCAGGAGTCTTCTTAATTAGAGGCTTCTGAGAAAAAGACAGGAGTTCATTGAGACGTTTTGTTAAAACTTTTCCCGTCTGTCCTAACGCTCGTCGTTTACTGAGAAAGTTGAACTTGTGTTTGTACACAGATTCAAAATAAAATGAGACCTGCCCTTCAAAGAGCATCTCAGAACGAAAGAAAATTAATGAATCACAGTGATATTGATCTAAACAAGAATTTCAGATAAAACTGGATTATTTTCTCTGTTGGGAATTTCAACCACTCCTCTGATCTCTTCAGGATTTAGGAGCTGTGATCTGAGGTTTAATTACACTTGCCTAAAAATTCAATCAATCCCCCTTCAAACAGCAGGCATGCTCCTCCTGTTCTCTCAGAGACCACTCTGCCTGTGGGAAACTTTTCAGACGACTATTTCTCTCCAAACATGAGAGCTATGACATTAAGGTGGGCTGTATCCCAGCCCTCCTGCCTCGTTAAGAGTTGAAAACTGATGGTGTGGAGGAGGCGGTAGATTGCAGCAGCCCAGCTATCAGTCTCTCTGTGACGCGTCTGCTGCTTAAGCCCAGCGGGCTGTGATGGCACTGAGAGGGTGTCTGCAGCCCTTGGAGACAGGAGGCTGGCTACCTTTCAGAGAAGCATGTGATTATCAAGAGAATCCCTGGTGGGCATGTGAATAGGACACAATGTCTAGCCTTCAGACGGCGACCCTCCTGAGCACACACGAGCCAAGGACTCTAATTGGGAGAGTAAAGCAGACACATTCAGTTGAAATGAGAGCCCGGCTGCCGCAGTGATTTCTTCTCAATCTTCATACAAGAACTGATATGCAACTCAGTCTAACATTAAAGGGGAACTCCATTGATTTTACACATCAAAGTCTGTTTACAGGTTTTTGGGGAGTACAAATGCATGTGTGAAAAAAGCTGTATAAAAGCCTTTAGGGGCTCCAGAGGGAGCTGAACGAAATCTGATAAATTGCAGAGAGTGATGTCACTTGGTTCAGCTTCAGTTGGGACCAAAGACTACAGCTCAAGGCTACAGTATGCAGAGTTCACACACGACTTCACTCCTGATTTACCACTCACTGACTAGGGCTGAGTGTTATTTTAAAAAATCATAATACAGCTACGAAAACCAGTACATTTTAAGTGATAATGATACCAAGACAGTACGTCATTTGATGGCTTTTTTTCTACTTCATTCGATGCCCATCATGTGAACGGAAGCAAACGCCACCAGACACCACAGGCGTGTAGTATAGCTGTACTTTTGAACGTTCTGGTTCACCACAGACTGTATGGGTTATAGCTGCAGTAGTGGGTCAATCACGCATTAAATCAAAGAATGCTTGCAGTGACTGGTTGTCAGCAAAACCATAGAAATAATATATATATATATATTTAGATCTGTATACAAAACAGGTCGAACGCAGGTTTGTTTGAATGAGGAAGTTTCAATACTACTTGGTACTGGGTTATTTCGGTCGATACTAAAAGGTATGGAGTACCAATACCCAGCCCTATTGCTGACAGTTTTTGAAACTCCCCGACAAATGCCCTAGATCAGAGCACTTTGTGTGAACTGAAAAATGTGGGCCAAGAGGTTTGCCAATGCATCACAGTCAGTACGCAGATATCAAGCATGCTAAATATCTGGGTACTGACAGCCACTGACAGTACAAGACACGGGTTCAGGACAGACAGAAACTGCATTGTGACACTTCCCGAGGTGTGTGTGTGTGTTTTACAGAGAGTGAAACACAGAGAGAAGGGAAGATGAGGTGGACTACTGAACACGTTTATGTAAATTATTAGCTGAATACCTTACTTGAAACACTGCTTTGTCAGTTTTTCACTTTGTTGATTTCTAGTAAGCGCGTGCCCGACCTCGGGTTGTGGCTTGACTCATGCATCACATGACATACTCACTAAGGACTCCTTCTGGTGAAAGATCTTGTAGTGTGTGAACTATGGATGGGCGCAATTAATCGTCTTAGCAATTAGACGTTGGCACCCTCGCTAGTCGGCACCAGAAATATTAGTCTGTTAAACCAATTAATGTTTAATTCATGTACAAGGCTACTTAACTGTCATGCAGCCGCCTGCCACTAGTGGGGGCTACAGAGCCCTCAGACCGGCGGTAATGCTCAAGTAGACTGGGGTTTTAAAACAGCATGTTGGGAAATTGGAGAGATGTCCTCTCGCAAAACTAGCAGTTGAGCAATACGCATTACGCAACCACATCCGACTCAAGCATTTGGATGTTAACCTGCACAGAACAACAGCTACTGCTGCTAGCAGTGCTAGCCACATTCAGATACCGCAGCTCATTACTAACCTGGAAATCCAGAGTTCTCGCAAGAGCACAATTTGAATTTGCTCAGCGAGTCACTCTGGCAATCAGTAATGATGCTCATTACCCATGCCGTTGGAGCCGAGCTGCACCAATCACATCGGTGTATCTGATATAGACGGGCCAGAGGCAAGCTAAACAGATGATGACAGCGCTGCGACAATGAAGTCCGGAATCAGTCAGTAAACATTGCAAGATGACCACGGATGAACACCAGTTGTTTGAAACGGCTTTGGCCGCTACAATGAACGAGTTAGACTTGGCTTTTTCTCTAAAAGAGAAACAGAAGACAGCGCTCGAATCTTTCCTTTGCAAGAAGGACTAATCTACCAGTTAGCTCCACTGGTAGTGCTCTGGATATGTCACCCCGTGTATTGTTCTGATTGGTCGTAGTGTTATTCAATTGTGTGTAGTGATTTTTTCAAATGCATGCTTGTTGCCGCCCCTCGAGTTGTGCCATTTTCATTACTCATTGCCAGATCTTAAATCTTTCTAGATTTGGGTCTGGATTTCCAGGGTAGCTCATTACGACAATGACTGCACAAGATATGTTTCCACTTAACTTTGTTGAAGGTTTCAGGAAATTAACACAATATGTTGAGCCTGAATACAATGTGCCGAGACCTTTTTTTAGACTAGTCGACTAATCTTTATTAAAATTTTTGTTCAGTCGATAGGGAAATTAGTCACGAGGAACATCCCTAGTGTGAACCACTTATTAATTACGAGTGTGAAAACGACTTCAAGACTCTGATTACAAGACAGCTTGTACAGCAATCTGACAACTGTGAAAGTCGTGTAGTGTGAGCTTAGCTTTTGTCGCTGCTGGCATAACACACCAGAATCTCTGTCCAAAGTGCTGGCAGTGGAGTTGCATTGTGGGTAATGTAGGTGCCAGGTTTTTGCAGAGAAGACAGATGTATGGAACAGATATTTCATATCTCGCTGGCTCTGCGACATTTATTTTGATCGACTGTGAGTCTGACAATGTTGTAGGAATGCAATGCTACACTGGTGGATTACTCTGTTAGCAAAATAACTTCAGTCAACCTCAAATTTAGCAACATGAAGAAACGCAGGGGGACGTTTCATTGTCAGCTACCTAAATGCATCAGAGATCAATGTAGTCACAGCGTGGCTCTCTTCCAGGCAGAGCACTCTGTGCAAATGGATGTAAATCTAATGAGATCAGCTTATTTCCAATGAGGAGCGGGGGCGGCTGAAAGGCCTACATCTAGCAGTCGGAGTGAGTCGACGGACGGATTCAAATGGACAGGGCCTGGCTCCTGCCTGGCAGAAAGAAGGACAAGTGGCGCTGTGACATCAGACAGCAGGTACAAAAACAGGAGAAAGAGGGATACGCTCCCTAAATGACAAATAAGGCGGACGATTGCGACATCGTCTCTGCCAGAGATGCTTCCCCAGTCAATAGCTTCAATGTCACTCCAGGAGAGCGAAGAGACGTGCATTCGTGTGTGTGTATGTGTGTGTGTGTGTGTGTGTGTGTGTGTGTGTATGCGCGTGGAGGTTAGGAGGACTGAAATATTGAGTGGATGCTCATGGTTCACCGATTAAAACAAGGTGTCGAGATCAAACAGCTGCTCAATAAACCATTTTTATGTGTCTGAGGAGAAAAGAATGATAATCAGTGACTGACAGACTTCACATGTTAAACAGACCTGTCCTGTGTTTTCTGCTTGTTCAGACACTTTTTATAGGACCTTGTTTCACAATGTGAGAATCACTGTCTCCACTTAGATGCTTAAGATGCAAACAGGATGTTTTGTTTCTGTAAATATCCACACGATCTGTTACGACTGACCTACAATTATAATTAATTACTTATTAAATCAAAATGGGATTTATACAAATTATTTTCTTGTTTCTTGATTAACTGCTCTAAATGTTGGAAAATAATAAATAAGATGTCATCCTAAAATTGTTTGTTTTGTCCAAGCAACCAGTCCAACACCCACAGATTAGAGATGAAAACAATTAGTTGATTAAATAATTACTGTATCAAAAGAAGGATTATTGTAACTGATTAACCCTTTTCAATGTAAAAATAAAAACATTTTAGCAGTTCTGGCTTCTTAAATGTGAATATTTACAGACATTTTATATATTCTGCAATAGTGAAAGGATTACTATTTATCAGATAAAACAAGGCAGCTGAAGATGTCACTTTGGGCATTATTTATTTTAAGGACTAAATGATTAATTGAGAAAATAATCAGCAGATTAATCAATAATTAAAATAATTGTTAGTTGCAGTCCTACCAAAATTATTCAGTTTACCCTCAAATGAGACGAAAAAGTACTTTTTTTTGCGTGTTTGGTGGATGTACATATGTGTATGTCTTTGTTTAATGTTAAAATACTATTGGAAAAACAAAGACAAAAAAGCAGAACACGATCACACTTGCTGGAACTATTTGGTGTTTCTGCTTTAAAAAAATACAGTTAATCAAGAATTAAAAGTTGCTGACAGTTATGTCAATCTGTTCAATTGATAAAACAATGAAATTATTTACACTCTGGACCTGAGTAATAATTAGTGCTGAAACAATTAATTGATCATTCTAGCACTGTAAACTTAATACTTTTTCATTGTTGGTGGGATAAAGCGTAACATCACATTAGGCACAGAGAAATTTCTAAGGCAACTGTTCACTATTTTTGGCATTTCTATAATCTACATAGATACTAAAGTGATTTTTAGATGCAGCTGTATGCAGCTGAATGATTGCTGCAGGTGCAGCTCTATATGAGTACTGTTTGTTTTTTAATGATGAGAAATGTTTCAGTACCTTGGTCTCAGTAAGTTGTCTTTGCAGGAGCTGCAGGGCCTCAGTGTGTCCCTTCTCACTGTCCTGCAGGGTGGCCAGCTGCTCCTTCATCTCCCTCTGAAACACAACAAACAACAGGTCAGTAACTGGTGATTAGACCTCAGTGCAACTGAGCAGACGGACACATTCAATTAAGCAATGCATTCGGCGGAATATAAAATGCTCCACTTCTTCTTCGCTCAATCAATTTCTGCAAATCCAGTGTGCTACATTAGAATAGTTCTAATATATTTGGCAGACAGATATTTTTGTAATTCTATTCTGTCTATTTAAACTGTATTATTTGTGTAACAGCTCTCTTTGCTCCGGTGCGAGGCAGCAAAGATTTAAGGCTCAGCTACAAAACAAGCAAGGCAGATGGAGAGAGCGAGATATGAAAGAGATGAAATGAAATCTCTGGAGATGTTGGGCTGTGTCAGAGAAAACTGGGTCTCATCTCTAGTCAGGCACACGCTGGCAGAACCTGCACCACTCAGCCACCTCCAAGTCTCCCCAAGGCAGGAAAGAGGCTCTGTGGGAGCTGGCTGGGACGGCTGCTGTCACGAATGGTGCAGCGTTTTTAGGCGCATCCCATGTGCCAACAACACCGGCGCACTCAGATTCAGGTTTTAGGACAGAAGTGGTTCAGCAGATTCCCCCCGAGTAGAGACATGTTTATACTAATGTACAAGTACAAGACTCAAAGTGCTGCACTTTGTTTATCAGTACTTTACTGATGTGTGATGAGGAATAAAAGTTTGAAATTCAAACACGTAAGGTACTAACTTCTCCTACTACAATGAACTTTAATATACAAAAGGCATTTCTCAACAAAGAGGACACAAGGATAGATTACACCATGGAGCTGACCTTGGAAATCAGACCTGACCTGTGTCAAGCTGATGTGAAGCGAGCCCGAACCACCGCAGCATTTAATGAGCCGAAATACAACAATACAAACCTAAAAGTCTTTTTTCTGGTAAAACAGTATTGTGGTATATATCTAGAGGCTCTTATTTCTGCTCATTAATAAATGTTGAGGGTTGACAGACTAAATTTTATAAAACAAACAAACAAAACAAACAAACAGGGAAACAAAAGTAGGGTTGCATTGACTTATCGGTATTAGCTTCGCCTTGTTGATTGCCATCAGCCTATCTGCAAATAAGATAAATAAGACGACATTCACTGATGGATGTGACTGATGTTTTTTTGTTGTGTCACATAAATTTTGCACAGGCTAAAAGCAGGGATTGAGACTGAAGCGGTCTTGTCGTCCTGCGCACAATAGAAAACGTGTTTGGGATGAAAAAAGATCTTCTCTATGAGACCTTCAAGGCCAAAAGGATACAGTAAACTCACAAATGACGGGATGCACCCTATTTTTTTCTCCTGATGATGATAAAACGTAAACATCAAATCTGTGTTCATATCAGAGGGAGGAGAGCTAGTTAGCTGTTAGCAGTTAGCAGCCAGTGGCTGGGACCATTGATTATATATAAAGGTGACAGACATGACAGCGCCCCCTAAGTGGAGTCAAATCATCTTGATCGCCCCCTGGTGGCTGGCTGTAGTATAGGTCATAGAGCCTGCTCCCTCCATATGTTAGCAGATGGGATATGGGCCAAACTAAAATGTTACAGTACATTACAAGTACTCGTCAAATTTTTTCCCCAAAGATGGTTTCTGTCATTCTGCCATTACATTCAAACTGTACCTTTGTCAGTTTCCAAAAATGTAAATGTCATGTAAAATGGTCATAAAATACAAATAATTATACACAACACAAATTAAGCAGAAACTGTGCTTTGGATAAAAGCCCGGTTCATAAAATGACAAAATATATGTGGCAGTAAAAATGGCATCATTGCCTTTGCTCTGAATGAGGGGGAAACTGAAACAAAGGAAAAAGCCTGGGACAGGCCTCATTTATTCCAACCCCGTTGAGCCACCCCTGCTGCCAGTGTCTCTGCTCATGTAACCTGTGTGTCACACAGTGTCACCTCCCCTGAACACCAACTGCGGCAAAAATCCACCAAATGGAACTGTCAGCTTAGCAGGGCTAATAAAACAGCCATCACTCAGCTACCGGGCTGAAATAAATGCCAGAGTAGATCTCTACTGACAGGAAACAAAATACATAATAATATTACCATCTAGTCTACAAGGAGAATAAGGTTAAGGTACTAGCAGAGAGAGAAAGAAATAAGCCACGCGTCAACTGGTGATGCATTACAAAATCACTGACCTCGATCATTAGTTGTAAAATTTTAAAAAAGAGCAAATGTGGGCTGTTGAAGATGAAGCATGTTTCCTCTCAAGGACAGAAACAATGGAAAACAATGGCTGGTGCAGAGGGGGAGCGTGACTCTCCATGCTAATGATAGGAGTGCGGCAGGCTCAGCGGGCTCTCCGCCTCATCGCTACACGCTTGTCTGCAGCAGGTCAAAGGCCACTCCCACACACTGAGATAGACCAACGCTGACAGACTGGCAGAGAAAACATGCTCCTCCACTCTCCTGCTGCACATTGTCTGACTGACTGGTCAGAGAGGGGCAACTTTAACTGCGGCAGCCGTCACGCTGACAGAGAGATGCACCGACGTGAACCCATACATTCCTGAAAACCCCCCAGAATCATCTGCAGAATGTTTCTTTTCAATAAACTAAATTTTAGGTTCACATTGTCTGGGAGTTTTTGCATCATCCTCTGCATTACGGTGTGTAACAAACTGGATATATCCACTCTGAATAGAACTTGTCGCTAAAATTAAATGCACCGGAGAATGTGTACTTAAGCTGAATTTAAGCAGCGGGCAAAGCTGCATTTTAGAGACGGCAAAAATCAACCTTGGTGAAATCATCTTCATACATGTCAAGGCCCTAAACCTCCTCCATAACGTGCAATTACATAATCCTCTTTAATCATCCTGGAAGCAAAAACCGTCCTTTGAGTATCCTACAGATGGAGATTTTCTGTGACGACATTTATAGCAGACACTGAGGAAGAAGCCACAGCTGTAGTGTCCGTTACACATGGGCAAGGAATTAGATCTGAACCTGATTCACTAGTACGTCGAGGAAAAGTGTGCATAACGGCGAGCAAACCATTATTATGTGACAAAACTGCAACAAACAAAGACTCTGGCGGGGAAGTTTGTGTGTGCACTTAGAGTGTGTTTTCATGCTGTGTGTGTGTAGGCGTGTCCTGTCCATTACATCTGGCCAACACAAGCCTGACATGACATTTCCCCAGGACATCAAGTTGCGGGAAATGGGGGTCACGGCTGGGGGATTATAAATCTAAAATTCATTTCATCCTGCTGTCATTCCCTCCTTCCTCTCCCTCTCCTGTCAGGTTAGCAGCTCCGGTGGATATTTACGAGTAAATAAATAAATGAATGAAATAATAGACTATCAGCGCACGGTTCTTCAAAAGTATGCACGAGGCTTAAAAATCCCTCAAACTTTCCCTGCAGCTGCGAGCTTGATTATGTTCAGCGGCTCGTTCGGGATTGAAAGAGCATTATTGGCTTCAAACTGCCAGCCCCGATGAAGAGGGGAACAAAACAACATGCAGTGTCACAGCATGAATTATAAAAAGCCTACAGGATGGAGAACTTCCTCTCGCACACAGAGACAGAACTGGCTTCCAGAGATTTCATTGCACTGATGGTAGGAAAACAATAAACATGCAGAACATAACAAAATACACTTGCAGCCTTCCTTACTGTCGGACGTGCAGAACGCAGAGTCGATGTTCGACTTAGACTTATAATTAAAGTGGGACCTCTTTCATCTGTTTATCATTAGACAGGGAGCGCAAACCCCAGCAGAGACCGCGATAACTCAATGTACTGTCTGCCAGTGAATTTCACAAGGACAATCTGGCATAACCTTCGTCGAGCTGAGGGTGTAATTCTGTCAGGTAGCAGACAGGGTGGGTAAATAGGACGCCAGCCAATAACAAAGCAGTGAACACACTGCAGCCGTTACAGTCAAGCAGGGAGCTTTATGGGCTTGTTGTGATTTAAAATGGACCGGGTCTGAAATATGTCATCCACGCCCAGCTGACGCCTACACTCAGGGACAGAATCACAGGGGTTCAATATTCAAGGCTACTGGCTTGGATATTACGGGGGAAGCAACAGACAAGTGTGTTCTTAAGAAATCAGACTGAGCACATTAATGATGCTTTCACACCTAACCTGTTTGGTTCACTTCTATCAGACTCACTTGGCTTGCTGTGGTCTGAAAGCATCTGTCCAACTCTGTTGTGGTTATAAAAACTGGGCTGAGACCACCTGAAAACAGCTGTGGTGCACAGCAGAAAGAATTTTGTGATGGTGGATCTTTATTCTAGTATACATTTGCAGCTAAACTACAATTAAAGCTTGGGTGGCAGCTTTATTTTAGCACTGGACAAAAATCCTGTAATAAACTTTAAGCATGTTGTAATTTAGTGGTCTGAGAGAAGACTAGACTTCTCCACCTCTTCTTGGCTGTTTTCAGGCCATGACAGGAGACTTTGGCCAACCACAGGTAATTTTACCAAAAAGAGAGGGTGTTCCTATTGGCTGTTCTACAAGTACAAATCCACGTGCACATGCCTTCAGATGGTGAACGCCTGATTCAATGGCGGAGAATCCTGCAGAGAAGGTTGCTATTCCAGCATTGGCAACAACTACCTACACTGCAAAGGGACCCAAAAAAGGAAGACGGACAAAAAGAGAGTCTAAAAGAGAGTCTGACAATAGACAAAACAAAACACTTGTCAATATCAGCAAAGCATTTCAGAGATGGAGAGAAAATACTGCTAATAGTTCAGCCTTCTGCTAACCAGAGCCAAAGGCTCACAGCTGCAGCTACTTCAAGATCATATTTATGTAGCTAACTATAGCCTCGGATCAGTGTGTCCTCCACTTTGTTCCCCGTTGCTACAGAACACCTTGCCAGGAGGAGAGAGGGTAGCATCTCCAAAGACGGAGCCCCAGTCAGTGGTCACAGCAACCTGAATCCCGCCAGAGCAAACCCCATCTTTAGGTGACTGGGTAACTCTGACTCCATGCTGGATCAACC